GGAAAAATGACTGGTACAGGCTAGGAAAGGAGTCTGGGAACGTGAGCCGAAGTAAGGAGGGAAGGCGGGGGCAGCTGGAAAGGAGACTGGGAGACAGGGATGGGGGAGACAGATTAGCTGAAGAGCCAAGAGGAGGGGGAACTGGGACTGGTTGGGCAAGGAGACTGGGACTTGGAGTTGAGGGGGATACTGAGATTTAGGGAGCTCAAAGTGGGAGACTAGCTCTTGCCCAGCAAGAAAACTGGGACTGGGACGAGAAGCCCAACTAGTGGAGACTGGGACTGGCTAGGCAAAAAAAATGAGACTGGGACAAAGAGACAGGGGTGGGAAAGAGACAAGAGAGGAACAGGGACAGGTTGTAGGGGATGGGGCGGAAGGATTTAAGTTTGGAAGGAATAGTCAGAGGGTCTGCCCACTGGAGCACACTCCTTTCCAGATCCTGGAATGGAATTCCTGAGGCTTGCCATTTCTCTGCTATCAGCAAATATCTGTGAAACTCACTGGCCCAATGTGTGTCTCATCCTCCTCTTGTGGTGGTCTACATAGAGGATATTACTGAATGAGGCAGGGTTCCCAAAATACTGTGTGATGCTGTGATCAGAGATGGTATCATTATGCATAAGCACAAGGGGGCAGAAATAAGGTTCCAATGGACAACCTTAATTCTGGCATTTCCTAATTTTGAGTGTTTGACTTTACAACCTTAATCATGTTCTTTTAATATAGGGATGAGTGTGTGTGTATGAGGGGGGATATACCATTCAGCCATTAAGTAATTAACAATCCACATCTGAATACACATAATTAAGATCCAAAATTTAAGATTAAATAGAGAGAGAAGTGGTTGTTGCTTTTTTTAAGGTTATCGTTTGAGTTTGTCTTTCCATTTATCAGCTATACCTAGAAACATTCACAGTATCTAGCTGTCTCTGTTCAATCTTGTACAGAGATGGCATTGGTCAATGACCTCTTTGTGGCAATGGATGAAGATCAGGTATCCAATCTGAAATTATAAATCTGTCATCTGCCTTTGACACTGTTAATTATGCTGTATTACTGACTCATGGATAGATCAGATTATAAGTAGATGGAGCATCTTTGCTCTTTACTTTTGGAAAGATCCATCTGGGGTTGCTCCAAAAGCAGACTCATGTAGGGTTTCTGCAGAATATATTTTATCTTTTATTGAATGTATGTATGGGGCCATTAGGATGGTTAATGAGGAGACATGAGCTGAAATGCCTTCAGTATGCTGACAACACCTAACTTTTTTCTATTATTTCACCCAGCTGGTGCAGTTCAGCATCTTCCCCAGTGTTTGGTTGAGACAGGAGCAGTTGATTAAAACTGGATTAGATTACAGTGATGATGGTATATATAGAGAAGAGATCAGCCTCATTGTCTGCCATTTGTGACCAGTGTTCACAACTTAATGTTGGATCCTCTGCTGCTGTTAGATGATCATATAGCAGCAATGAGTAATACAGGTATTTTCATTTTGCATCTGGTCAGAGGTTGTAGTCATTTCTTTTTGAGGCAGACCTTGCTACCAGGACCCATGTCTATGTTGCAAACAAGATCACTTTTAGGCTAAAGCAGGGGTCGGCAACCTTTGGCCCGCGGCCCGCCAGGGTAAGCACCCTGACAGGCCGGGCCGGTTTGTTTACCTGCTGCATTCGCAGGTTTGGCTGATCACGGCTCCCACTGGCCGCAGTTCGCCGTCCCAGGCCAATGGGGGCGGCGGGAAGCGGCGGCCAGCACATCCCTCGGCCCGTGCCGCTTTCCGCCACCCCCATTGGCCTGGGACGGCAAACTGCGGCCAGTGGGAGCCGCGATCAGCCAAACCTGTGGACGCGGCAGGCAAACAAACCGACCCGGCCCGCCAGGGTGCTTACCCTGGAGGGCCGCGTGCCAAAGGTTGCCGACCCCTGGGCTAAAGGTAGTGGAGAACACAACAGCCCATTTATTGAGTGAGGCGTCTCTTCATGAACACTGTCATGGTTAGTGGGCAAACCATACCTCTGATCCCACCTGGTGTCATAAAGTGCACCCCTTCTCAGGTTACACCCCTCAAGCTGTCACCTGGCTCAGAGTGGAATCACATGATTCTCCAACTCTGATCAGGCCCTAGCTGCAGGTCTCTGTGATCAACTGTGATTACTTCAGCAGGAGCAATTCTGTTCTCTCTGGGAGCAATGACCAGTGACCAAACGTTCTCCTTAAAACAAAGGCTTTATTAAATGTATTAGAACAAAAATACTTCAGAGAAAACACATGTTCAAAATAATAAACCAGACTATACACACGTGTGCTTTCCCCTAAGTCTTACCATTTGCTGGATCTGGGAAGGCCCAACTCCCCCAGAATTTCTCCTCAAAATCTCTCCCTCCATCAACCTATCTCCCTGGACTGCTTCTGACAAAAGCCTCCTCCCCACTGCCTTCTCCTGAGAAGCACTTTTTAACTGTTTGGTGTGCTTATGATCTCCAGGATCTCAGGTTTGGCAAAACAAGGCTTGCAACTTGTTGGAGGCAGTTTTAAGGATGCTGTCTCCTACCGTAACAGCTTGCCCTGTGGTCTTTCAGGTGTGTTTCTGGATGTTCTGATCTGGGAACCCATTGCGTTGTTTTCATGCACTGACCCCATTACAGGTATATAATAAACATTCCGCTGTCCTCAATGTAAGTTACATCAGTACAGTCACACAGGAAATTCTAATAACCTGCTACAGTTACAGTAACTTCCCCTCACTGACCAGCTTACATACAATGTTCATAAAATTATTACACTCAGTATTCTTAGATTATAACATAGCTGTTCCACAACTGTCACAAACACATCATACCAGATTCTGTACCTGTCAGCAACTGGTTTCTGGTGGAGTTTAAGGTGTTGGATTTGACCCATGAGTTTGTGTTTGTAACTTGACTACCCGAGGTACTACAGCTCTTGTGATTCAGGTGCAGCTGAGATCAGCAGAGGTATCCTAGCTGTAGCTCCCTTGATTTGTAAGTAGTTTGAGTCTGGGCATTTTTGGGCATACGGCTTAACCCATCTATTAATTCAGGCTTTTGATTCAGTTGAGTTGCCTGCATTGGATATCTTTTTGGGAAGAGTTTGAAATAAATACTTTGTTTCAGGAGTATTAGTAGTATGGGGGCTGAGTTTTCTGCTGGATTTATTCTTGTGCTATTGTCTTTTCCACAAAGCATTGGCAAGAGTCCATGAGAGGAGGTGGGTTTGTGTTTTAGTTGATTTATATGAATCAAAGTAAAGAATCTTCACAATATAGCCTATTTTATTTTGAATTTCAATGGGACTGGCACCTGAGTGTTTTTAGGTGATTTTGTATATAGGATTTAGGCTACTAAGTGACTTAAGCACTTTTGACATTTTTAGCCTTTATTTTTACACTAGGAGGGACATTTTATAATATGGATATGCCTTGTACGGTGAACAGGAACCTTACTGTCCCCCTGAGCAGAATATAGTCCTCTGGGAGAAGGTATCAACCACTAAACTGTTACTATATTTGTACTAAATTTATTGTATTCTTGAGCACTCTTCACTCATAGAACTCAAAGTATAGAGGAGGGTAAGCAGTGAAACTGAGTCACAGCTGAGGAAGTAGACGGGTAGTGAACTTCTGTCTGAGCTGGGCCTAGAACCCACGTCTGATTCCACATCGAGTGTCCAGGCTGAACCAGGCTTTCTCTACTTGATCTTAGTTAAAAAGCCAAGAGAGTTGAAGAGAATAATATGACATTGCTTAGCTGGGTGCACTAAGGTACAGCTTGTGTGTTACATTATTACACGCTGCTATATAAGTCAGGCATTAATTGCTCCAAAACATTCTTTAAAACTATTCAAAGAAACTTTGTACAGCTGAGACAGAGGTATGATTGCAAAGTGTGCTGAGCTACTTGCACTGGTTGGTACATGTAGATACTGGTATTATATGGCCTTAATCCTCATTTGCTATCAACTCTTTTTGTGTGGCTTTTGTACTAATAGACTTAATTTCATGGCTGCAGGCAGTTCAAACTGTGCATGCTGGAGGGCCCGAAAAAGAAAGCAAATGAATGAGAGCTGAAGGGCTGGTTGGATTCCTGCCAGCTCACAGTCCATTGATCAGAAGCTGCTCCAAAGTTCATAGGATCACAATGTGTTTCTCTTCCCACAAAAAAAGGGGAATTTGTGGCCGTGCCTTACCTGAGTGCAGCTAATTGTAGCCGGGCCAGGTTCTCGTGTGCACATTGTTCGAGGGGAGAGGGTGCAGCCCTCACGGGCTTTGCCTGGGAAGGAGCAGTAAAAAGAGAAACAGCCGTTCCACACAGGGGCTCCCGCTCCCCAGCCCCCGCCTGAGCTGCAGCTCTGCGTCTTGCCCGGCTGTACCGCAGGGGGCGGTGTGAGCACCAGCCTCCCCGTTGCTTCTGACGCCGGCAGCGTGGGGACGGGACTTCATGCCACGGCTGCCGGCCGAGCTGCCTCCCGCACCCCCCGTTTCGCTGCGCTGCCGGCGGGTCCCCGGCTCAGCAGCTGGACGCGGCGGCCGGGACGTTACCGCCGCCGCCAGAGGAGACAGTGGCTGAGCTATGGGGCCAGCCGCCTCCTGACCACACCATGGAGCCCTGACGAAGGCGTCTGCCCCTCCCCTCCCGGGGGTGAGCGCCAGGGTCCGGAGGGGGGGACGACCCGAGACCCGCTCCCCCAAAGCGGGCGGAGGACGGGCGCAGATGCTTCCTCCAGCCGGAGCGCGGGGGAGGTGGTAGGAAACTTTGGGAGAGTCGGGGAAGCCCCTGGCCGGGGGGGGCGGGCCCCTAGAGCAGCCCCCCCCCCCCGTGCAAATCTGGACGCGGCGCTAGCTGGGGAGGCACATCCGTGGCTGGGCTTTCTGTGCCCGGAGGCGATGCGCTTCCCGCGGGCGGCGGCGGCCAGACAGGAGGCGGCTGGTTCCTGCTCTCTTTAATCCGCTGCGTGTTTCCTTCTCTCCCCCTCAGGATTACCGCGAGGATGGGATGGATTTAGGAAGCGACGCGTGCAGCAGCCGCTCCAGCTCCGAGTCCAGCTCCAGCAAAGTCACCCCTTGCTCGGAGTGCAAATCCTCCCCCTCCCCCAGCAGCCTGGACTTGGCGGCCCTGGAGGACTCGGAGGAGGAGGAGGATTACCTGGGGTACGGAAGGAAGGGCACTGCCGCGTGGGAGGAGGACGGGCTCTGCACCGCCGGCTGCGATGCCAAGGCTGCCAAGCGAAGGAGTTTGGCGGAGGAGCTGGAGGATGTGAGAAGCACCAGCGCCTCCAACACCATGCCGCCCCCCGCCCCCAACGGCAACCCCCCGCCCCAGGACCTCCGGCAGAACGGCAACGTGGTGCCCCCCAGCCGCAGGACGGGACACCGCGGGGCAGGAGGGCGCAAAGCCCATCCCCAGAAAGCCCAGCCGGCTGTGGGGAGGCTCCGCGGTGGAGGGGGGGTCGCCCCCGGGCACCCCTTGGACAGCTCCACGGGGGGCACTTGGCTGAAAGAGCAGGAGCCTCAGCTCCCGACTATGGACTGGGAGGCTTTGGAGAAACACCTGGCAGGGTTACAGTTTCAGGAACAGGAGGTACGAAACCAGAGCCAGAAAACAAACTACACCTCAGTAAGTTGGTCCCCGTTATCTGCAAGGTCTGTGGCTTTGGGGCGGGAGCGAGGGAGGGCGAGTCGGAGTAAAGGGAATTACTTATGGTGACAAGACATGTTACTAGGCAGTGAGTCAGTCGCAGAGATCCATACGGAGCATTGCCATAGATGGTAATTGGACAAATCGCTGTTGCCCTTTAATTGTGACGGGTTTTTTCATCCTTCTAACCTGGGAGGGCCGCTTATTGAATGCAACATTGTTGCTAGTAAGAAGCTTCATTGTGTGTGAATCTAGATCTGTCCCCTTTCTTGCAGATCTGCAAAGAATTTGTCTTTCTGCAGCCTCTTTCATTTGTTCAGCTGTGGAAGGAATAGCTTGACTCTGACCTGCCCGCCCCTGGCCTGGATCAGAGAACCAGGGTGTGTGTGTCTGTTGAACAGATCAAGCTGGTGACTCAGTGACCATTTGTAATGTCTTGTGAATTCTGAGATTTTGGTGGGGCTCAGTGGCACTTCCTGTTTCTTATCAGACAGACACCTGGCTGGATACAGGAAAGCCAGACAATGTGGGTGGCAGCAGGAGCGGGTGGAATAAACATAAGCAGGAGTCTTAGGCCATCTAGTACAAGGGTTCTCAACCTTTTTCTTTCTGAGAACCCCCCAACATGCTATAAAAACTCCATGGCCCACCTGTGCCACAATAACTAGTTTTCTGCATATAAAAGCCAGAGCTGGCATTAGGGGGTAGCAAGTCAAACAATTGCCGGGGCCCCATGCCACAGGGCTCCCCGCAAAGCTAAGTTGCTCAGGCTTTAGCCCCAGGTGGTGGGGTGGGGCTCAGGGCCCTGGGCTTCAGCCCCATACAGTGGGGCTTCAGCTTTTACCCTTGGCCACAATGAGTCTAATGCTGGCCCTGCTTGGTGGCACCCCTAAACCTGCTTGCGGGGCCTCCCGGACCCCTGGTTGAGAACCACTGGTCAAGTACACTTCCCAATATGGACCTGGGTGGGTATCTCCTTTTTGAAGGGCGTTTCTCTGGTTGCTTTATTTTGAGGTATAGCAACAATTGCAACCCAAGCATTTAAATCTGTACCTTAGCCAAGAAGGATTGCATACTTTAACCTAGCTAAAGTATGTGGCAACCATTACAGAATGCTTGTCATTTGGTACCTTGCCTTGGGGTGTGGTTTGAGTATACAAGGCTTCAGGCTACTGGAAATTGGATGCCTGCACTTTGACTTTAGAGCATGAGGACAAGTAACAGCATGTCTCAGTGTAAATGGTATTGCTAATACTAAAAGAGGGAAGGGGATGTTTTCTTTGCCTAGTAGAACCTGGTTGTAAGACCCCCACTTTGTGTTTCAAATGTGTTTCCTTTAATCACTGCTGTATAGCAGATTTTCATAGCTATTCTTTTCATCAGCGTTCAGCAAATATCTTAAAGCAGCAACCAAAAATTATCATTGCTAGACTCAGTTATTACAGTGTTTAAAAAAAAATCTCCTGGTTAATGTCTTAATGTCTATATTTTATTTGGTACAGATTTTAGAAAGTATGAAGCTAAAGAACAACATTTTGCTTGTATTCTGTTGTTATTGCAACTGTAACAAATAATACAATGGCTTTTATTTTCAACAATAAGAGATGCTGATGTCACTTCATTTTAAGTATGGCCTAGCCTTGATGAAGATTGTATATATGCTGTGAAAGTTGTCTTTTATGTGTGTGAGCGTATGTATGTGTGTGAATTTAGGTGCCTATTCTTTGAGGTATTAAATGGCATTGGCTTCCCTATACAGCTCTGCCAATGAACTACTCCTAACTGGCCAGAACAGTGGTATTCCAGTCCTGGGCTGCTGTTGAGCAGAGACTGTCACACACAGAGTAATGGCCTTTTATTTTATTTATTTTTGTGTGAGAGCTGAACAAAATCACCTAAAACATCAAACATGTTTTCACTTGTAACCTGACCCAGAACTGGAACCCAGTACTCCAGAGATTTAAGAACCACAGTCAAGATGGAAACTAATTCATATACTGTATTTGTCCTTCCAAATAGTTATATTGTGAAATCTCATACTATATAATTTAGTATACAAAGTAATAATTTTGGAATCTTTCAGGAAGGAAAAGAAACTAGCACATATTTACTCCCAATAAGCAGGTGTCAGTGGTGGGTTGGGTGTACAGCATTCTGTTCAGGGAGATATGAAATCCCATTCATTAAGAATTGTTTTCATAATATGTAAATTAAAAGAAGGCATGACATTCCCTAAACTTTTCTCTAAAACCATTGAAGGTACATTCGAACACTGCTTTATGACGGACAATAAGACTGATGTTAACTTCCGTTAACCTCCACCTTATAACTTTACTTTCCTAGGGCTTGATTCTGCAAGGTGCTCTGCAACCTCACTTCTTACTAATATCAGCTGAAGAAAAAGGGTGCTGAGTACTTGCAGCATTGGCCTTCTAGTTAGGCATCTGGGACTTTATATCATACTTACTGTCTGTGTTTTGAAATGACTTTGAATGAATCATTCCTTGAATATTACAAATGATTTTTGAAAAATCTTGTGGTTATTAGATATTGTAATTAGGGCAGTCTGGTAGCATGACAGCTGCCACAATGCATTTTTAAAAGACCAGACTTGGAACTAAGGGTGAGCTAATAACAGCAGCATGTAGAGAGTGTGGGAATAAAATCACTGACCCCAGGACTTTTTAGGTGGTCTTGTAATTGATAGTGGCTTATTCAGAAACTAAGCTTTTTTTTTTTTTAAAGTCGTTTCTTTCCTTTATCGTTATGATGATGATCTCATCAATGTAAACTGATGTACTCTTACTTTTGGTCACTCAAGCTTACAGAAAACCATCTCTAACTAAGCAACAGCAGCAAATATAGGAACTCTTCCTTTCTAGTTGGGTGCTTGCATAAGTGAGGTGTTACCCTGAAAGATTTTTGGATCATTGCCATTTGTAAATAATTACATTTAAGAAAAAATGCTAATTGGAGCCAATGCACTAAAAAATAAACCAAACATTCTCTGTCTTGGACCTACTCTTCCCCTTTATCTAGTATTAGTGCTTTGACTACCCTTGCTCCAAACCAGAATCCTCCCACTACACTACCTGTACTTGGCGTAGCACCTTGCCTCCTGCCTGGAGGGATGAGCACATAGCTCCTCTTTAGCTGCTACAAACGTTGATCCCTATGCAAGGGATTCCATGGAAGCCTAATCTGTGCTACATGTTGTTCCAATGATGGAAGTTGCAGTTTGGGTGCAGTACAGTCCCACACAGAACTCCTTGTAAGTATTGCAGTAGCACTGCTTTCTGTAGATCAGATCAGGCTAAGGAGACTAGGCTCCCATCTCCAGAGACACAGCATGTACACATCTTCTTTCTCATTGCTGACCTGCCTGTCAGCTTAAGCCCACAGTTGGCATTTCCCATTTTTATAAATGTATCAGTTTTATGGTATGTGAGGTACTGGAAGAATTCCTGATAATTGTAACTAATTCCCCCCCCCCCCTGCAATTTTCCAGCATCCTTGGGAACAACAATGTGTGTAGCTCATTGTGGCAGCCTTTCTCTTTTTCCATGCATATTTCTGTTTATGTATTTGAACATTTATTTGGCTTATGTGCTTCAGTTTTGTGAACCCATCAAAACCACTAAGCTACTGCAGGAATCTCATTTCTGTTATTTCACTCCTGGATCTGTTCCTTCTAATTAGCATCTGTGCCTTATGGGCATAGTTTAGAACAGGTATGTACACTGTATTAGACTGCTTGAAGTGCAGATAGACTCATATTTTTACAGATCCTCACTTTCTATAATAGAGAAGGTCAGGGTGAGTAAATAGTGGGGGATCTCTGCTATCATGGCCAGTTTAACAATAACTGTTTTGCTGTGCTCTCCTGCAGTAACATTCTCTCTAACCTCCATTCACTCAGCTCTATTTCATCTTCAGGAAGGGTTTTCCCTTCTCTCTTGGGGCATGCCCACACTACAGTTTAAAAACCGGGGGTTAGCCCATAACAGCAACTTGGGTTTGCAGGGCTTTGGCTAACAGGCCGTTTAACTGCGCTATAGATATTTGGGCTCGGGCTGGAGCTCAGGTTCTAGGACCCAATGAGGTGGGAGAGTCCCAGAACTTGGATTGCAGATGGAGCTGGAACATCTACAGTACAATTAAACAGCGTTGCGAGCCTGAGCCCGTGAGCCCGCTTGTGCTGGAACAGGCCAGCTTTGGGTGTATAATTACAGTTTACAGACCCTTTGAGGCGGGGAGCCCATGTGCTTCTTCCCCTGCTGTTTCTTGATGTTGAGGGTTCTCTCCAGCCTCCCCATGCTGGACATTAACAGACCTTTCCCCCCATCATCCAACCTGATGTTAGAGGTATTTCTCCTTGCACACATCTTCTTGGCTGTCGGGGTCTTTCGGACTGAGGAGGCAGAGGGAGGGGGGACTCAAAGAAACTTCATGTCCTTATCTGTCTAGTTTGAAGTGAATTTCTTCCAAATTTTCCCAGGTTTTCTTAGAGGATGGGGGAGCAGGCATAGCAGAGCACAATGTCCCTTTCTTCACCTTTCAGTCTGGTGCAATTTGAGAAAGCTGCAGATTCTTCTTTTTAGGCCAGAGCTGCTGCTGCAGGTGAGGAATTGAGACCAGAGAGATCAAGTTACTTATTCACAGTCATACAAAAAGCATGTGGAAGAACTGGGAATTGAATCCAGGTTTCCTGAGTCCAGGTTTCCTGAGTCCAGTCCAGTGCCATAAACACAAGACTATACCCTCCTTTTCTTTATGAAACTCCTATAAATATTACATAATTAATTCTAGGTTACTTGCAGAAACCTGTGACAGGAACTTCAGATATAATAATATTAAGTAAAATCTGAAGTCTTAAAAGGATTCAGATAGAGTTAGGATTCCTGATTTGACTTCTGGGGTCAGCTTCTAAGGCAGTGGTTCTCAAACGTCTGTAGTAGTGACCCTTTCACACAGCAAGC